GGGCGCAGGAGAGGGGGCGCAGGAGAGGGGGGCGCAGGAGAGGGGGCGCAGGAGAGGGGACTCAGGAGGGGGCGCAGGAGAGGGGGCGCAGGAGAGGGGGCTCAGGAGAGGGGGCTCAGGAGAGGGGGCGCAGGAGAGGGGGCTCAGGAGAGGGGGCGCAGGAGAGGGGGGCGCAGGAGAGGGGGCGCAGGAGAGGGGGCGCAGGAGAGGGGGCGCAGGAGGGGGGGCGCAGGAGGGGGGGCGCAGGAGGGGGGGCGCAGGAGAGGGGGCGCAGGAGGGGGGGCGCAGGAGAGGGGGCGCAGGAGGGGGGGGCGCAGGAGGGGGGGCGCAGGAGAGGGGGCACAGGGAGCGCTGCCCCAGCAAAGCGCCTTCCTCCGGTGGAGGAGGGGACACTGCCCTCCAGCCCTGAAAAGGCTCTCCCTGGGGGTCCGGCCAGCAGAGTGGCATGATGCACGAAAGAGAGGAAATGGCCATTTAATTACATTCGCCCGGGAGCCCCACACCCTGAGCGTCCCAGGCAGACAGGAAGGTGAGGGGCCTGTGGCCTCCTGAGCCGAGGGCGGGGGAGAGGGCGCCTGGGCCCCGGGAGGGTACGAAGGGGGGTACGGAGAGCAGATGTGCAGGGATTCGGGGTTTGCCCTGCCCTGGAGGTCGCTCATAAAAAAGCTATTTGTAGCCTGGCCGGTGGCCCAGTGGTTAGAGCGCTGACCTATGAACCAGGAGGTCAGGGTTCGATTCCCGGTCAGGGCACAGGCCTGGGTTGCAGGCTCCATCCCCAGGTTGGGGCGTGCAGGAGGCAGCTGATCCATGATTCTCTCTCATCATGGATGTTTCTGTCTCTCCCTCTCCCTTTCTCTCTGACATCAATTAACATATTTTTTTAAAAAAAAGTGATGAGTCTCTCTCACATGGATGTTTCTCTCTCTGTCTCTTCCCCTCCCTCCCACTCTAATGGAGCCCTGACCGGTGTGGCTCAGTGGATAGAGTGTCGACCTTCGGACTGAAGGGTCCCGGGTTTGATTCTGGTCAAGGGGCGCATGCCCAGATTTTGGGCCTGATCCCCAATGGGGGGCGTGCAGGCAGCCGCTCAGTGATTCTCTTTCATCCTGGATGTTTCTCTCCATCTCCCTTCCTCTTTGAAATCAATTAACATATTTTTTAAAAATCGGTGGGAAAATACCCTCAGGTGTGGATTAACAAAACCCCGGAAACATGCTCTGCTCCCCTCCCGGGTGTCCTCTCCTCTGCCCACCTCTCCCCGCGGAGCCTGCGTGGCCGTGGCTGCCCGCGGGAGCCCAAGGTCGGTGCAGTGTGACCTCCACGGGCCGTCCCCCCGCGAGGCATCAGCTGCTGGGGCCGGAGCGATAACGGCGTCAGACAACCTGGCCGGGCCCAGCGCTGAGGAACACCTGTTCCCAGCCTCTCGGTATCACTGATCCGCCGATACGGCTCCCGTCACACCTCCGCCAGGTGCGCGGGCGCGGGCAGGCCGCCTGCAGCCTGAGGCTCCGGGAGACCTGCTGGGCAAGCGCTGGTGTCCTGAGAGCAGGCCGGGGACTCGGACCCGGGACAGGGCCGGGGACACAGGCCGGGGACACAGGCCGGTCCCCCCACGGGGCTGCACCTCTGCTCCCTGCAGGAGGACCTGCCTTCACTCGGCGCCGGCAGCACCAGGAGCTGAGGCAGCTAATGGTTGGCTCGCGGAGGTAAGCTGTGCACGCCCGGGCCCCCACTCCCTCTGTGAGCCCCCGAGGCCAGCTCAGCCCCTGAGCCCCGCTGAGGGGGACACCTTGCTTTCCTTCTGGTCCTCCCGCCTGGTTCCACGCGGTGTGTGTTCATTCCCATTCGGTTCAAAGTGTTCTAACCTTTGTTTGGCTGCTTAGTCTGCTTGCTGAAATGGGTGGCATCTGGCTTTCAGAACTGAGGGTTTCCAGACGTGGACTTTGTCACCGATTTCTTCCATCTCTGTATTTTGTGCTCACTGTTACTGAGATAAAAAGTACACAAGGCCCTGCCGGTGTGGCTCTGGGCTGAGCATCACCTATGAACCAGGAGGTCGCGGTTCGAATCCTGGTCAGGGCACGTGCCCGGGTGCAGTGTGGGGCATGCAGGAGGCAGCCGGTCCATGATTCTCTCTCATCATGGCTGTTTCTATCTCTCCCTCTGAAATCAATACATAGATATTGTTTACATAGTTTTAAAATGTTCGTAAGGCAAGCCCGGGAGGTCCCTGTGAAGTCGGGGTGCGGCCACCCTCCAGGGGCATGAATATATTCACCAGCGGGAAGCACCCTGGAACCCGGTGTTCAGCATTTTAAACCCAGGTTTCATGACACAGTCATGGGAGTTAAACTCTGTCCCAGGAGGTCGGGGTGAGGTGGGGGGTGAGTTAGGGGTGAGGTCGGGGGTGAGGTCGGGGGTGAGTTAGGGGTGAGGTTGGGGTGAGCTCGGGGGTGAGGCCGGGCTCCCACCCTCTAACCAGAGGCCTCGTTGCTCCGAGTGGCCAGCTCTGTCCTGCACGCTCACTGAGGCCCCCGTGGGCCGCTTCGCAGGCGTGAACTCAGGTGTCTTCCGGTGTCGTCCGAGTGACTCATCAGGAAAAACAAAAGCTGGTCCTCTGGGGAGATTCCGAGCGTTTCTGAAGCTCGGTGCTGGGAGCCGAACCCAGGGAGGGTCAGATGGACCCTCTCCCACCTCGGAGTGAGGGGCTGGTCTCCCGGCAGTCTCCTGGCTCCCCGCTGAGGTCAGACCTCCTGGGACGGAGTCAGTGACAGTGCTGGGAGTGCCGGTGGCCGGAATGGGTTGGCTGGTGAGATTGCACCGGCAGGAGAGGACACGGCCTCTGTGGGGGTCAGGGGCCGGTGAGGTCACCTTTGTCACCAGCTGCTGGCTACATCGCCGATTTTAGTGCGGAAAGTGTGTGTTCTTTTCTCCGATTTATTTATTTATATCACTTTTAAATCCTCCCCGGGATATGGTTCCATTGATCTTCTCAGGCCAGGCTGCCTCCAGGCACCAGGGTGGCCTGGGTGACCTGTGACCTGTGACCCCTGACCTGTGACCTGACTGTCTCCCGGGCTCTCAGCGGCCTGGGCACAGTCCCTCCTCTGCCCTGGGCTCCACCCCTCCCTGGAGCCCTTCCCCGCCTGCCCACCTGGCCGCCAGAGCCAGGAGCTGCCAGAGGTGCTGGAGGGCCAGGGGCCGGCCCTCGGGGTGGGGGGGCAGGGGGGGGGCTGCATTCAGTGCTCCCTCCCTTAGGGAGCACGCAGGCCCCTCCGCAGGCTCTGTCCCCCAGCAGACTCTGCCCCCCCTCCCGGCTCTGCGCCCCCCCCCAGGTTCTGCCCCCCCACCGCCTCTGCCCCCCCAGGCTCTGTCCCCCCCAGGCTCTGCCCCCCGCAGGCTCTGTCCCCCCAGGCTCTATCCCCCCCAGGCTCTATCCCCCCCAGGCTCTGCCCCCCCCAGGCTCTGTCCCCCCACTGCCTCTGCCCCCACAGGCTCTGCCCCCCCACCGCCTCTGCCCCCCCAGGCTCTATACCCCCCAGGCTCTGCCCCCCACCGCCTCTGCCCCCCCAGGCTCTGTCCCCCCACCGCCTCTGCCCCCCCAGGCTCTGTCCCCCCCAGGCTCTGCCCCCCCAGGCTCTGTCCCCCCACCAGCCTCTGTCCCCCGCCAGGCTCTGTCGGAGAGGCTGAGGGTCAGAGAGGAACAGAACCCAGGCAGGCCAGGCCAGTGCTCAGGGAGGTCCCCTGCAGCAGGGGGACAGACAGCTCGCACTTGGACTTGGACCAAATGTACCCTGAACCGGATACGCATGGACACATGTATAGTCCATGATACACAATGTACATGCCCGTGTTTATCGGTTGCTAAGTGTACACAGATATCCACTGTTCATCATGAACATAAACAAACTAAATACACAGACACAGCAACAAGTGTGCCCACGTGCACACAGATACATGCTCCGCAGAGAGCTGTGGGCCAGGCGGGGCGGGGGACAGCCGTCCGGGCCAGACCGCGGGGTGGAGGGGGTGCGGGGTGGGGACAGCGCCCCGGGAGGGAGCCCCCCGCAGGCTGGGCTGCGGCCTGACCTCGGAGGCCATGCTCACAGGAGGTAGGAATCCGGTTCTGGGCGGGTGCCCGGCCCTGGCCCCAGGCCTTCGGCGCTGCAAGGACCGGCCTCCCCGCTCTGCTAATGGGAACAGGGATGGCCTCTGGGCCGCGTCCAAGTTCAGGTCCACGCGGAGCGCCTCCCCGCCGGCCTGGGGCCACCGGAGTGGGGGGCCTGCCTGTGGGTCAGACTCCACAGGAACCCCTGCGGCTGCGGGGGCCGGGAGGAGGGTGCGGGGAGGCCGCAGAGGGGCCGCCCGGCAGCTGTTCCTGCCCCCGGCGCGGGGTCCTCCCGGGGGCGCAGCCCCGGGCCGGGCACCGCCTGCACCCTGGGCAGCTGCCCGGACGGGCTGCGGGGCGGGACTGGGTGCGGGCTGCGTGCGGAGGGTCCTCCCAGTGCCACCCGGCCACTCCTGCTCCCTCCGCAGCCTCTGCTGCCCCGCCCCTCCCGCCGGACAGGTGCGGCCCCGCCCCCGCCCCGCCCCGCCCCGCCGCCCACCTGCCCCGTTCCTTTCCCCCCCCCCCACGCCGCCCCACCTGCCCGCCCCCACCCCGCCTGCCCGGGCGCTGCCTCCGGGGGCGGGGCAGGGGGGGGGAGCGGGGCCGGAGGGGCGGGGCCGGAGGGGCGGGGCCGGAGGGGCGGGGCCGGAGGGGAGGGGGCGGGGCAGGGGGGAGCGGGGCCGGAGGGGAGGGGGCGGGGCCAGAGGGGAGAGGGCGGGGCGGGGCCGGCGGGGCGGGGCGGGGCCGGAGGGGATGGGACGGGGCGGGGCCGGAGGGGCGGGGCGGGGCGCACCTGGCTCCGGCCCCTCCCGCCTCGCGCCGCCCGCCCCGCCCCCGCTGCGGGCCGCGGGCGGAGGGTGGGCAGCGGCAGCGGCAGCGGCAGCGGCAGCGGAGGGAGCGGGTGCGGAGCTTCCGGCGGCTCCATGGACGCGCCCTGCGCCGCGGCGGCCAAGCCCCCCAGCGGGTGAGCGGCGGGGAGGGGGCCGGGCGGGGGGACCGGAGCGGCGGGGAGGGGGCCGGGCGGGGGGACCGGAGCGGCGGGGACGGGGGACCGGAGCGGCGGGGACGGGGGGGACCGGAGCGGCCGGGACGGGGGGGACCGGAGCGGCCGGGCGGGGGGACCGGAGCGGCCGGGACGGGGGACCGGAGCGGCGGGGACGGGGGACCGGAGCGGCGGGGACGGGGGACCGGAGCGGCGGGGAGGGGGCCGGGCGGGGGGACCGGAGCGGCGGGGACGGGGGGACCGGAGCGGCGGGGAGGGGGCCGGGCGGGGGGACCGGAGCGGCGGGGACGGGGGGACCGGAGCGGCGGGGAGGGGGCCGGGCGGGGGGACCGGAGCGGCGGGGACGGGGGGACCGGAGCGGCGGGGACGGGGGACCGGAGCGGCGGGGACGGGGGACCGGAGCGGCGGCGGGGGGACCGGAGCGGCGGGGCGGCGGCGCGGAGCTCGGGGGGACACGCGCCGGGCAGGGGCGCACTGGCCCCGCTGGGCGCCGGGCCGCGGGCCGCACCGATCGGACCGGAGGGGCGCGGACTCGGAGCCCGGCGGGCGGTTGGCGGTGACCGCGGGGCGGGGGCCGGAGCCCGTTGGCGGGCGGCGCGCTCTCCGGGGCCCCGCGGGCAGCCCCCCGCCAGGCCCCGCGGTCCTGAGCGTTGGCCCCGGAGGGGGTGTCCCGGGCGGGGTGTCCCGGGCGGGGTGTCCCGGGCGGGGTGTTGGGGGGCCTCCCGGGGGGCTGGCCAGCACCTGCCGCCCGCCCAGGCCGTGCCGGGTCCCCTCGGGGCCCAGCCGCCGGAGAAGGGGTCCCGGCCGGAGGCTCCCGTACAGCCCCCCACCCCCCGCTGTTTCCGGGCGGACAGCGGGCAGGCCGGGGACCGGGGCCTGGGGCCGCCTGGGCCTGGAGTCCGGCACCTGCCCGGTGTCTGCCCCGGGGAGCGGCCCGGCCTCCCGGGGCGGCCTGTCTGTCCTTCCGGGACGAGCTGGCGGCCGGGCCGGCGGGAGGGCGGGCACAGCGGGGGCGGCGGCAGGTGGACCGGGCGCGCAGGGCGCGGAGTCCGGGAAAGGGCCGGGATGAACGGTGGGCGGCCGCACCTGCTCCGCCGCCCCCGCAGCTGCCCGCGCCCCCTCCCCGCGGCGAGGCCACACAAACAGCACCCAGCACAGCACCCCAACACAGCACCCCAACAGAGCGCCCCAAACAGTAAGCGCCCCAAACACAGCACCCCAACAGAGCGCCCCAAACAGTAAGCGCCCCAAACAGTACAGCGCCCCAAACACAGCACCCCAACAGAGCGCGCGCGCGCACACACACACACACGCGCGCACACACACACGCACACACACACACACGCACACACACACACACACGCACACACACACACACACACACACACACACACACACGCGCGCGCGCGCGCACACACACACAGCCGCGGGGAGGGAGCCAGGTCCGCAGGGCAAGCCGTCCTGAGCCAGGAATGTGGACAGAACTTTTTTTTCTTTTTCTTTTTTCTTTGCGGCGCTCTTGGTGGCGGTTACGTAATTCCCTCTGAGCACACAGGTCTCCCCAGAGGCAGGGGGGAGGCCCTGAGCGCCGGTGTCTGGGGGAGGGGGGGGGCAGGCCGCCCCTTAGGTCTGTGCCGCCGGCCTGTGCCCTGAGCGCTGAGGGGAGCCTCCGGGCGCAGGGAGGGCTTCCCAGGCCCAGGAGGGCGCAGGTCCCCGGGGAGCGGGTTTCCCAGGCCCGGAGCCTGCAGGGCCCCGGAGACTGACTGGGGGGGCGGGGGGGGGCGCGGGCCCGCCCTGCGCTCTCAGCGGCTGGCGGCTCGGGTTCCACTCGGTGTGCTGCCTGCGCTGCTGCGGGGCCTCCGCCGGGTCCCCAGGGGGCGGGACGGTCACCCCGGCAGGTAAGAGGGATCGGTCCCCGGGCTCCGGCACCCTGTCTGCTTGTTTGAACAGCTTTGCCCAAGAACGCAGACACGCTGCTCTGCGGTCTGGGATCCCTGTTTAGTTTATCCTTGTCATTGGTTTTAGGGCCTTGAGAGAAGAGACGGAGAACATAGCAATAGGGCTGCGGAGTGCTCAGAGGTTGAGCGTGGACCTAGGAACCAGGAGGTCAGGGTTCGATTCCTGGTGGGCACAGGCCCTGGTTGTGGGCGTGAACGACAGTGTGGGGTGTGCAGGAGGCAGCCGGTGGCTGATTCTCTCTCCTCATGGATGCTTCTGTCTCTCCCTCTCCCTTCCTCTCTGAAATCAATCTGTATCTATGTATTTACATATCTGTAAACGTGTAAATATATATTTATGTCTATAAGTCTACATGTCTATATCCACATCTACGTTCATACATATATAAGAAAATAGTGCTGAAACCCATGTGGCTCAGTGGATAGAGCATCGGCCTGCGGACTGAAGGGTCCCAGGTTCGATTCCGGTCAAGGGCTTGTACCTTGGTTGCGGGCACATCCCTGATAGGTTGATGTTTCTCTCTCATCGATGTTTCTAACTCTCTATCCCTCTCTCTTCCTCTCTTTAAAAACTCAATAAAATATCTTTTAAAAAAGTAAAAGAAAATAGCAGTATGCTTCTATTAGGTCTAGTAATCCTTAATGTCGTTTTCTAATACTTTCTTAAATCGAATTTATTTAAACAATACAACAAAATTTAATCAACAATATAGTTGCCGTTGTTTTCTACTACTTGTGTCCAACGCTCAGGAAGCATTTTAATCCCTCTGTTGTAAAATTCTTGTGATTTTGATGCAAAAAATTCGGTCAATGCATTTTTGAGGCATTCTTCATTATTAAATTTTTTTCCAAGAAGAAAGTTTTGCAAAGAACGAAACAAATGGTAATCGGAAGGGGCAATATCAGGAGAATATGCAGGTTGAGGGAGAACTTCCCATTCCAACTGGCGCAGTTTTTCAGCAGTGATTCTTGCAGTATGCGGTCGTGCGTTATCGTGGTGAAGAATTACGCCCTTCCGATTAATCAGCGCGGGTTCTTTTTCTCTTAAAGCTTGGGCTAACCTTTCCAATTGGGCACTATACACTGCACTTGTAATGGTTTGGGTAGATGGTAAAAGTTCATAATGAGGAATTCCTTTAAAATTCCACCAAACACACAACATCACTTTTTTCGCATGCAAGTCAGGTTTTGGCGTGGGCTGCGGAGCCTCATTTTTGTCCAACCATTGAGGCCGCCTTTTCAAATTAACATACAGCACCCATTGTTCATCTCCGGTAACAATTTGCTCTAAAAACGGCAAACGGTTTTGACGAGAGAGGAGCGAACTGCAAATTGTGACTCTGATTACGGTTGTTGTCGGTCAACTCATGAGGAACCCATTTTCCAAACTTTTGGACTTTGCCAAGTGCATGCAATTGATTGGAAATTGTTTTTTTGTGAACAATTTAAAGTTGTCGCAAGCTCTTGTTGGGTAATTTGAAGATTTTGCACCAAAAGAGCTTGAAGAGCTTCTTGATCAAAATTGGACACATGGCCTCGACCACTCTTGTCATCTAACGAAAAATTTCCCTCGCGAAATTTCTTAAACCAACGCTGGCATTTTCTGGCGCTAACTGCATCTTGACCAAGAGCACTACAGATGTTTTTTGCAGCCTCACTTGCTTTTCTTCCTAATTGGATCTCGTAAAGCATGCAGTGCCGAATATGCTCTTCATCCGCCATCTTCTTAGCCCTAGTTTTGCAACAAAAACCAAACCAAACACAAACTTTTTCAAGCAAAACTTGTTAATTGCACTTCACACGTTCTGTAGATAGCACGTGTTTGAAGGTCATGTCAATACAAGCCAACGCCAAGCAAGATTTTAAACGAATGTTTAAAAACGACATTAATTATTACTAGACCCGATATTTCCAGACAGGAATCACACGTTTATTCATCGGGGGAGTTAAATCCGAGGAGAGCACTGGTCCTGGGCTTTTTCCATCCTTTATGCACCGCAGGAGCACGGCTCGCCCCCAGGAGCTCAGAGGCTGGGGCTGTGGCTTCTGGTGGCTCTCCGGGGTCACAGTGTTCCCTCCGGCTGCTCCGCTGCTGCCCGAGAGCCAGGCTGAGCCGGCCACAGGCTCCGGGAGGGGTGGCCGCGGCTCCTCCCGGTGCTGCGGCCGGGGCCCAGGGTTCCAGCGGAAGTCTGGAACAGGACTCACTCTTGGGGATCCCGTGGGGCCGGCGGGAAGGAGGTCCCGGGAGCCGGTCCGGGCCAGGAAAGCCCTCCGGGCGCTGGTGGGAGGGACAGAGAGATTGCTGAGCGCAGACTCACGGATCGGGTGCCGGGCTGAATTATTAATAGGCAGTTATTCCTTATCTTTGCCGGGAACACACAAATGCATTTTTAATCAGGTTGAAATTGTATATTTTTCTTAGTGATTTTATTAGAAACAACGACAGGACTGACTTGGTTGTTGTTAAGCTTCGCTGGAGGATATTTTTCTGTTGATGTTCAGAGAGAGTGGGAGGGAGAGGATGCACCGAGAGAGAAGGAGAGAAACATCCATGTGAGAGAGACACACATGGATGGGCTGTTGCCTCAGACACGTGCCTCTGCCCGGGGCGGGGGGTCAAGCTGCAACCAAGACCCACACCCTGGACCGGAATCGAACCCAGGACCCTTCCGTTCACGGCAAGCACTCTATCCACTGAGCCGCGCTGGCCAGGGTGAAGGTTATTCCTTGGGAAGGAGGCTGTACACAGACAGGAGCCAGCAGGCCCGGAGTGGTGCGGCTGGAAGGAATTCTAGGGCTCGGTGGAAGTGTGATCGCCAGCAGAATATTCTAGACCACATGGGAAGGCAGATTGCCTCTCGGTGATGTGACGTTTGAGAGTATGTTCAAGCCCAGCGAGGATGGCCTGTTTCCTTCCGGTGTGACTGTGTGTTTGTGGGAGCCAGCCCGAGAGCCGGCCCTGGGACACGGGGCTCCGTGCCAAGGAGGGAGGCTGGGCCTGGC